CTTCAGTAACGATTATCTTCAAATAACTTATAACATGTTCAAAATGTTGCATGTTTACTTCCTGGCAATAAATTAGTTCCTTGAATCGTGAAATTAATTACTCATGTTTTGGAGTAATTATGGGAGTCAATTGGTGCACACCTACGTATAATATAAATTTTCTGATTGTTCCAATCTTTGGGTTGTATAATTGTATTGTACTTCTAATTTTAAAACAAATAAATTTCTGTCAGATCGAATTTCCATATAGTTTTGATAGATAAACACAACTTACTACTATACTGCGCAGATATATATGTCTTACATGAATATTTAAATCCTTCCAAGGCACGGAGAATCTCTATTAAGAAAATGATCTGTAAACATGCGAAAATGTAGTTTTGCAAGTACCTATAGCATGTTTTCTATTCGAGTTTACATAACAAACTTCCCTTTTTATTGTATTTTAATGGATATTGAATAGAGAATTAGATTTTTGTTTCACAATAACCTTTATAATTTAATGCGAGCGACTTAAATCGCTGTATAAATGATATAGTAAAAGGTCATGCAAACTGTCACAACATCGTTCCTCAATATTAAGTATAGTAATAATCATTTCCAGCGTTTTGAATAGATTTTCCAATGCATTACAATCAATTATTGCTGGGTTGTAAGATGTTCTCTAATCCCCTTTAATATTAATTGAAGCAAATTTATCTGGATTTCAATACTACACATCCAAAGCAGATAACACATTACTTTATAGTAACGTATAATAACAGTAAATATAATTAACAATAACCTTCAGTATCATTTTAAACATTAATTTAATATATTAAAAAGTAAATCAATTATTTTCCTCTGCAGGGGATGTTCGAACTGAAAAGAAATTAATAGGATTTCGATTCCAATCAGTTCAGATTTCATTTCTCCCGTACAATTCATTTTTTATCCACTTTCCGCTCGCCCTAAAATAAATTAAATTCAACACCTACTTCAAATTTCTTGCCGCAGAATTCTTTGTATAGCCATATTCCAATTTGGCATTAAGTCTTTTGCCAGTCTGGATTTAGACTGATATTAAAATAATGTTTTAGTAGTTAGCTGACTCCTTGAATTGCCTTTTTAGCTTAAGTAAAGAATGTTTAAGGTAAATTAATTAGAATATTCTATTCATGTTCATTTATCTGTAGTTTTCGTTTCGATTATAATTTTCATTCTGTTTGTTTCTAGCAACAAATTATTATAGCAGCAGTCAAAATAGGAAAGTAGTAATTTGTTGCACGATATGAAAGTTCGTCGAGTGTACTTAAAAGAACTCTGTTAATATTAATTAGCGGAGATTTACTGGACTAATAACAGCCATTACTCCAACTGAGGCTGAAGAAAAATGAGCATAAAGAGAAATTAGCTGGACTTGATTGACTACGATGACAGAAGATTTTTCTTTGTTTCATAATTATTTAATTTCCCAGATCCACTATGAGCAAATGCAATGTTACCACTGATTTTCTTTACTAGGGAGACAAATTCCAGCCAAATCCTCGGATTATAATTTTAAAAGGATATTTTTAGTACTTTTTTTTTCGAATAGCAAAGTTTCATCAATCAGTCGGGTTGTTTAATAGTTACCATTCTGTGGATCTCTTTGTTGATTTAATTAAAGTGCCCCAATAAACACAAAGCGTTCAATCAAAACAATAAGCCTCAGTCAAGCTTGAATCCCGACCAAATTGAGTTCAAATAAAAATGTAAAGTTCCTTTGATGAATCACTGGAGCAAAACAAGCCACCATCCAAATTCAATTAATATTTGCGTTGAAAATCTGACGATAAAGAGTTAATTAACTTTTATCGTGTCTCTGGATAAAGAATTAATTAACCCAGATTTACCGGCAAGTTCCAGTAATCTCCGTACATGTAATCTATTTCCGTTTATAATGATCGTATCCAATTACTTTTTATTTTTATACATAACCAGAGGTTTTATTGCTAGACTTTTTTTGCTGCATGGAACAATAGATGGAAATGGAAACTCATTGGAGTCAGGAAAATGTTTAATGTGTGGATTACAAGTAAAATACCTTCAAAAAAGCACAAAGCGCACAAGAGATTTTGCTAAGTTGCTTTAAAATTATAGATTTCAGATACGATTGAGTGCAGCAATACGTATTTTGCCTCCAAAATATTAAAATGTTAAGTACATTCAATTGATTCATCTGGTGAATTTTTGCTTCAATTCAGAATTTTAAAGCAAATATATTTTTTTTAAATTAGAATATGTTCGAGTAATCCTGTATCATTTAGATATTAAATTGAAAAACTTATGGTGTTGCCAACGCCAAGCCCAGGAATATATCGCAAAATTCAAATTTAATGTACATTTTAAATAAATATCAAATAAAATAAATATAGCTATAAATTATAATAATTTATAATTCTTAATTCTTCCAACTTCCAAATAACAATTTAGCAATATGTAGGCAATAGTACTTTGTATCACATCTGCAACTTTATATTGTACCCTCATATCTCAAATTTGAAACAGGCTGTATGTTTTTTACACTAAAATAAACACAAATGAAAGTTTGGATTTATTTATTCGGCCATAGTTTCTAAGGAAGACTGTATTGGATTTACAGAGTTTATTCTTATGACGGACTTGTATTGTATGCAATTTTTATTACAACTTCTGTACGTTATGATTTTCCATTACTGTACTTCAAGTGGCAAACACTACTTTGACTCGATCTCCATAAATAAGGTTTTTGTGTTTATGTCCAACGTTATTTTTATATAGTATTATGTTCCTTCCTGTTTTTCAGTCAAAGTGTGAAATAAAAATGTTTTTATCGTTTATTTCATAACGTTTCAGCGAGACAACAGCGCCATCATCAGATTTAAAATTCATACAAATCTTGTAGGCGGTTGCTGCGCAAGTTTTCGGACTGATTCATTATGCTCCATGTTATTTTTATACATATTTTCTGGTTCACTTAAAATGTATGCTTTATTGGATATTGAGAAAAAAGCAATTTAAAAACTAATTTTCCTCGCCCATACGATAATATTTTTCGCCTTCGCTCTCGCTGTGTAGTGGAAAAATGCGAAAACCCAGATCAAATTGAGTTAAAAAAAACCTTTAGGGCATTGGTAACAAGAAATTGATTTATTAAGCATAAATATCGCGACTTTACTGATGTTTGGCGATGGTTCGGTTTTAATAAACTATTCAGTTTTCTGAATTTACATACCTATAGTTAGTACTAACAAACTAAGTATAAAGAACTTTCGTGAAGGGTTGTTTTAATAAATTGAATCCTTGTATAGAAGATTAGCAAAGAAAATCTATTACTTTCAGAATAAATACAAAGTTGAATAGATTTCAGTTCGAATTTCTATACTTCGACAGTTTGAACTTTTGTACACTGTACAAGACAAGTTTCCATCGGTTGTTATAGAATTTTGCAAGTTCTCGAGAAATTGTATTGAAACTCCCACTGAAAACGTATAAAAGCTTGCAGATCGACATTAAGTTTTAAAGCCTATTATTGAAAAAATGCAAGGTTGAGGCGATTTCTTCGGCTTCGTCTGAGTCTACATTCATCAAATGGAGCCTTAAATTGTAATCATTTAACCAATAATTACAAATAAAATTATTTCGTTTGGTGAGAATGGAGTGTATATTTTTAAATGGTCATATGATGATGCATTAAGTGTACGATAAAATTTTTCAGCAAGATTAGCAAAACTTAATAAGATTAATAGTTAACATCATGGGAAATTTTGCTAATTTATTGGCCAGCTTGTTAGCGTGATTTAATCCCACTCAACTTTTTTCTGATCAACTATCTGATCCTAAAAAAAATATTTAAAATCAAGATCATCCACTGAATTTGGGAAAAATGGTATTTTTAACAAGATAAATTGAACGGATTATCCATTATTTCCGGAGTCCATTATTTGGTTCGCAAAAAATACAAATTATTACAGATAAAAACGTTGGGACAATTTTGATGTAGATAATGGGTCACCCTCTACTTCTCACTGAAATTTGAATTTTGTCCACTAAAGCAGAATTTAATATATTGATCCCAAACCGTTTAAAAAATGTGGAAAAAATAAATCCAAATTTTTGCCTTCAATGGATTTAAGCTATTATAAAAATCTATTTTTAGAATACGTATAAGAAACTTTTATTCTATTTCAATCACCAGAATGTTTTTCTATGTTTGAAAAAACAGTTCGATAAAATTACATATTTTTATGTAATGGTATATTACGAATCTAACTTTCATTTCTCTATCATTATGGCAGATCAGATAAACAACTTTAAAGCTCCATAGGAAATCTCTCACTATATTTTAATAGCAGAATCGTCAAAAAACTAAACATTTTTAATATGCAGGCAATTTTTCCATAATAATTTATGTACGATTTCATCTAGATGATCTAAATGCTAATCACCTAAAATAGCAGCTTTTGATATGTTGTTGCGTAACCAATAAACACCAGAAATATTCAAATTAATAGTATCAATTCCTTAAAGTAAATATTATTCTCTCCACTACATTTACGCAAAAAATCATTGGTTGTAAATTGTTTACGGAATTGCTGTCATCCGGAGCCCAATCTTGGATTTACTATGTCACCATTTCTACCATTTTCAAACTATTCTCTTCGCTATCCATTAGCAGAATTAATGTTTACACAAACCAGACAAGGGAATTAGCAAAATAATTCCTTTACCGTCCTCTGTTACGTGTCTTGCGTAACTCGATTAAAGACCCACCATTGAAACGACGCATTGATATAAATTATGCGTTTGAGACAAACTGCAAATTATGTTTCAATAAATTGGAATTAACAGAGTTTGCCATTATTTGAGCTGTCTGGATTATGAATTATTGTAATTGAATGGCGTTGAACTCTGAATGATAAACTAATTAACTCGCAGCATGTAGACAATGTTTTTCGGTCAAATATCAACTGTGACTAATATTGTGTTATTTTTTCCAGGGTTTCAGCACTTGACGTCGACCTAAAATCAAAAAAAAATGACACGGCCATACATGCACCTAAACCACACTATGCTGCACAGAACACGTTCAAACCCGATAGGGAAATATCGACAACGATCGATTCCCTTAGACAAAGTCGGATTGATCACCCCCGAGTACTACCAGATGTTCCCTTATTGGTCGCCGAAGTTACCAAACAGACTCAAAGCACAGTACGCACATCGCATCTTGGCGAACGTTCCCGATTGAAACCTGATGGTGAGGTGCCGGTTGCTGAAACGTCGCCAACCGATTATGTGTCCTCCCGTCCCCTTTTGAAAAAAACAAGTTCTGTGATAGAAAATTCTGTGCCTTCCCCGAATTGCTTAACGGACGACCTGACCAAAATGAAAGTGAAAGCAATTAATTCCAACAAGCTTTTTGTTCAATCTAAGTCCTTAGGTAAGCTGAATTCGTCATCAAATGTTGTAGATAAGTTCAATTTCGAAACCGTCTTGTTGAGTATTTCGCCTCAAAGTGTTCCTCTTTAAAAAAAGCAGAACTTTCTCACGTTTTTTATTATGGATTCGTAAAGAATGCTGTTATTTCAGAGTATTCACACGTATTGTCAGTTTATGGTCATGGGGAACAAACAATTGATGAGTTTTTGAACAGTTTGAACAACCAAATTCCTTTTTCTGGATATGCTATTTAAGAAACATTAGGTCAATTTCAAAACTTTGCTATATAAAAAGCCGATAAATTGATATTTACATTTGGACTCAAGTCTCCCAATAATGGTAGCAGAAGGAATCGTAAAAAGTTTTTATGAGAGAGCAAAAATAATTTCTAATCAATCTAATTTTAGCAATCGTAATTAAAAATCGTAATTTATACAATTCCTTGCCAATGTAATAAATTGTATTATTTATTACTATAATTTAAGAACACCAATCATAGATAAAAACAAATAATTTTATAGGTAAATTATTTGTCAACATGCATTTGATAATTAATCTCCACAAAATTCAATAGGATTCTTCAACAATTTTGCTCTAAAGAACATATTAGCAAATAAACATAAAATTGAGAAATTCTTAAGAAACATTTTTAAGAATGCGGAAATATTCAAT